CTTTTATTCTGTTTGTTTCGTTTGATTAAGTAATCACCAGTTTGTATATATAGATAAGCATTCAACCTGGCTACTTTTTTGTCGTTCATGTAATAGCTTCTTGGTAATGTTCTGGTGAAAAACTGGCTGGTATTAAAGTGTTATTCAAAAGAAACTGTCTTTTTTAACGTACAATTTATAGTATCAACTATTTTTGAACAAACAGGAGGGATTTTTTCTGAAGATCAAATAACGATTCAAATTAAAAACTTTATCAGGATTTTCGTATAGTGACTTTTTTGAACCCACTTTTTTCTTTCTTTTTCAAAGGTACAGGGTCAGTAGAGCGCAGTGACTTCGCTTTTTCTGTTTGGCAGAATTGGACGATAATTTGAGCAACTGATGGGTAGATTTACACTGTTGCTGAGGTACACATTGATGGGGTAGTGAAAGGAAAAAAGGGAGGACCTGGTACTTATATGCTTATATGAAGACTGATAGGAATTAGAATTGGAAGGTTTTTTTTCTTCTACATTCTCTTTGCTTAGTTTATCTTCAGACAGCAGTAAGAATTCAATGCATATGCGCTTAATAAATAGGTATACATTTTGTGTACCATATCTGTTTGATGTCAAAGGTGTCCACGGCGAGGGACATTATCTAATATTCCATTGGAATCAGTCCCGTAGGAAATATTTATTGTGAACCATTGAAGCTTATTGCACGGACGATCTTAATTGAAGAGTTTAATTTAACATTCAAGTAGAATTCGTTTGATACGTATTCTATCAGGTAGTTTATTTATATACATATTTTTCTTGAAATGTTATTACACTGAACTGTAATTGCATTTGGCAGGTCAATGGTGGTTAAAAAAGCCATCAATCGGCCTACTTTTTTTTGTAATATTATGCTTTAGCTTCTGACTGAAGATTTTTTTCTTTTGAGATATGAAGGGTTCAGTACCTGTGTTCTAGTTCACTTTTTTCCTTCAGTCACTCGTTATTGATTTTTTGATCCGTTTTGATTTGAGGGTCGTTGTTTTTTCTTTTCTATTTTTTATTCTTCAGGTCCATTTAACCGCATATATGTTTCCTTGGTAATTTAGAATTCTGATAATAACGTTTGGTCTTTGAGACTACAGCTAATAGAGTTTTTGATTTTTGGCTTTTACAGTTTTGCACTAGTACGAAATCCTGTGTTTATCTATCACTGGTCTCTATTAATGTTTGACCTTTGGTATTTTGTCGGTAAAAATGGCTTTTTTTCTTGTCAGTTTAATTTTGCCAGGAAAAACTACCTTAAATAATCATTCTTTCTATTACTTTCGTAAAAAGGCTTTTGTTACTGATAAAAAGCTAAGTGTTGTGGTAGCTCTTTTTTAAGTTTTTATATAGTTCAATAGAAATGAACTTTCAGAGACAGTTTATGAAACTAAAAAAGGGAGGTTTTGTACTTGAGTCACAGTTCTATAATTACTAACACTAGTAGCACTTGTGAGTTCTTGGAAGGTTTTTTTAAAGGGAAGTCTCAAGCATAAATTTTTAAATGTTTGTCGTCATTGAACAGTCAAACTAAGATCGCTCGTAAACACAAAATTTTGATTTCTACTGTGGTACACCAACGTCGATATGTAGAGCTGTGTTCCCTACCGAAAGGTTACAGTCAGTTTTTGTTCCTGTGACATTCATTTAAACTCGTAAAATATATCTGATGTTCTTTTACTGTGGTGTACAGAAATCTCCCAGATACCAACTTATGCCAAGCAGTAAAAGTAGCCCTTCTGCCTTGCATTTAGCCTAAAGTAGGAGATGAAGCCAGCGAAGTGGTATTTATCAAAAATTTAACAAAAAGTTAATACAGTTACTGATTAGTGTTTTTTTCTTTATTGCTGCACAGTTATTTCAGCTTTGCTTTTTAGTATGTTACTTCAAAGCAGTTATTTTTTGCATATGTTTATAATTACAGTACTATAACTAAAGAACTTCAAAGTCAAACATTTGAAATTTGATTCAACTGAAGTTTAACTTAACCCGAAATAAGATCCCTATTTTTATCAAAACTGTCTGAAAGAAGATAATTAAGTTAATATTAAATTATATTTTCTAAGATTGACATAAATAGTATACAGCGAAAAAATAAAACGGTGCCGAAGTTGTAGAATCTGAAATGTGAATGTATGGATTGAACGCTGATATCAAAGTTCAGAGGAGCGAATTAAGTTTTCCAAATGGCTGTATGCCAGTAACATTTAATGCTTAAAAGAAGCAAAAGCCAAAACAAGCTTATATATCTGCAGCAAGGGAAGTGTTTTAAGATCAGCTTGAAGCCTATATTTGTTGTAACAAAATTCTCTGTCAATTTGCTATGAAACTACTGGGTTTTAGTTCTTTTAGGTATGCAGATGGAAAGCATAATGCGATTTTTGAGAAACTGCTGTTTATACTGTAGAAAAGTTTGCTATAGAATTAGTAACTCTATACATCACCTGAAGTTCACAGATCGGTTCAAATGGGAAAGATTTTTTGAAACGGTTGAATGAAGAGATATCTTGTTAAAAATTTCCTAAATATAATAATTTAATTGTACTTTATTGATATGTCCATTGAATTTTTGTTGTAGTGGAATTTGGTGTGAGCTGTAGTGATGATAATTATCAGTGACGTTGAGTTCTGTACAGTATCCGGTGTAACAGTAAGTTTCTTATTGTTGTCACTCTTCTAAGATTAGAATTCTTCATAGAACATGATAATCATCTTCCGTTGCCAAAGAATTTGAACTTTATGTAGTGTCAAAGTTTCCTCAAGTTATCCTTCATTAATTTATTTAGCATCTTTGATTTTGTTTAAAAAAATAAGTTTCTAATTCTTTGCTAATAATGGTTTTATTATGTCTTAGATAAAATACGCGGAGTTCTTTTTTCTGCAAAAGAGCCGGAGAAACGTAGATACAAGATATAGATACAAGATAAGATATGAAGTCGTTCTTGAGGATCGTTGGTTTGCTGCAGTATTATCTTAATGGTGTTGCCTTGCATTTTAATGTTTCATTCTTTTTCAGGTTATTTATACCGGTGAAAAGTGTTTTGCCAGTTACGTATGATGTTTGAACAAAACAGGGTTTTTGTAAGCGCAATGGATACTTCAGTGGTTCTCTTAATTCTGTGACTTTGGGGCAGTTTCAGTGCACTTTTCTTGAAGACAAGCCTGAGCATGCTCAGAAGTGTCATCCGAATTTACTATTTCCTCTAATTTGCTTATGGTTTTCCTGAAAAAAAGCAGAAGTTTTGCAACGGTACACAGATAAGTCTGATTTACATTTGAACTATGTAAAATGAGATTACAGCAGGTGGGATTTAAATTTGAGAAAATAG